CGCCTTTTTATAAGATTCAAGAGCTTGAGACATTTTAACTTTCTACAACTCAAGAGAAGCCCATTTCTAGCGGCTTTGCATCACTGAGAAGGTAAGTAAAGAATTATAACAATGTGATACTACCCTGTGTAAGACGGGTTCGTTGGCTGATAGGAAAACCCTGATGGGTTGCATAGAGCAGTTAGAGGAAAAAGTTATGGTCGATCAGTAATACAGGTCATCTGAAAGAGGTAAGGCCGGCATGTTTTGATTGCAACAGGTTGTTAGATTTTTTCTTTTCAGCATGACCTCGTGGCTCATTTCAAATCACGTCAAAACCAAATAGCACATCGAACCCTTCATAGGTAATATGTAATCATTTGTAAGAATTATTCATTCCTCTAGACTATCTGAAATTTTCTGTTTACAGAACTTTTTAGGTGGTTTCCTGATTAATTGTTTTAATGACAACGTTTCACAACGTGATGTGTTTGATATTTCAACATCCTTTTTTCTCTGAACAGTTTTCTGTTTTCAGTGGAGAAAAACCAGTGTTTTCAAACAAGGCCCAATAAGCAGCCCATCAGAAAGGTGACAGATAACGATTAACTGTACGTATTCAATTATGGGACAAATTAAGGACAACTAACACGATACCCATTGTTACATATTTCGTATGCTCAAAACACGAATTGTCTAAATAATTGAAACTGAAACTAGCTTCATAATACAATTTTTATTTCGTTGATGTTTTCTCAAAACATCAGTATATTATCAGTCTTTATTAGCGGTCTTTTTGCATGCAAGTCAAGTGTAGATTAATGTATTGTCGTCTACTCCATTGCAGTTTAGGTAATCCAGAAGAATCCTTTTAACTTGCTTCCAGTATTGTGCTAAGCTATCCTGTGTGGTCCAGTCCAGTGGAGTACATTCATATACAGTGCAGCACAGTCTTTATCAGTTTCATTTGGAAACGTGGAATGCAGTTCGGTGCAGATCCGTCTAGCCAGGTGCAGTGACTAACCTGTATGGTACTTTCCGGTTCAATCCAGGGTAGTGCAGTTTGCTGAACCCTTAGCTGACGCTATGACAGTCCAGTCCAGTAAAGTGCAGTGCCGTCCAGTCCAGTCTTCTGAAGTGCTGTCCAGCTCAGTCCAGTCCACTCCAGTCCACTCCACTGAGGCGTGGTCCAGTCCATTCAGTTGAATCTGCGCCCGTCCAGTCCCGTCCAGTCCCGTCCTGCTCGTTCCCGTCCAATTTCAATTAATTCCCTTCCAGCTTAGTATATTTACATCCAGCGTAGCCCAGGTCCATATAAGTCAATAGCAGTCAAGTCTAGTCGAGTCAAGTGCAGTGCACAGCAGTGCAATCCGTAACAGCTCAGCCCAGTCCCGTTCCGTCCAGTCCAGAACAACTAATTGCCACCGAGTCTAGGACAACACAGTCCTGCTCAGTCGAGTTAGGAACAACCACGTGCATTCTGGCCCGTCCAGTCAAATGAAGTGCTATTCCGAAAAGCCCACATTTAAGTCCATACAAGTGTATTTCAGTCCAGTGTTGTATTCAGTTGTCACACCAACACAAGGAAGAGCGTCTACTTGCATTGTCGTAGAAAGGTCTTCTTTAATTATACCTTGGGCCACTTGGGCCTGTCACTTGGGCTTTACTTTTAATAAAAGTGGACCTAAACAAAAATAATTGATAAAATATAAAATAAAGAAATGAATATATCTCAATAACCGATAACATTGATTAATTCTTGAAGAACTAAAGAAATGATGAATTGATAGGGAGATAAATAAATAAATATGTAAATAAATTGATATATAAATAGGTTGAGAAATAGTTACGTTGTTAAATAAATACAATTTTATCGTATGGTCAATGTATTAACAGTCTTCTTGCAGAATATTAAAATACAGTACCACGTTGTCTTGGAGGTTTGCGAGTATTTTTTCTCACAAGACTAAGTTTTACAAGGACACTAGCTGACCTTTAGAAAGACACAAGAAATCACAGGGTCGCTAGTGGTTCATGGCTCAATTTGTAACACTGGGATATCAGTAGAGCAGGACTGGAATGGATAATCGTAACAACAAGCTGAGAACCAGCTGCGAGGAGAATCCAAGGCTAGCACATAACCACAGGTACGTTAAAAGTTTCAGTAATAGATTAAAAGCTACTCGAAGCGGATTGTCTTCCTCTTACAAAAAGTACTACATATTGTAGTATAGTATTGAAGTTAAAACACGGATATCTGTAGAGGAGGACTAGATTGCTTCATTAGAAGATAGTCGTAGCAACAAGCTGAGCTACAACGGCGAGGAGAATCCAAAGCTAGCACATAACCACAAGTACGTTTAATTTCTGAGTAATAATTTAAAGGCTAGTCGAAGCGGATTATTCTCCTCTTACAAAAGTGCTACATAGTATAGCATAGTCAAATATTGAATTTAAAGCTGGGATGTCGGTAGAAACAGGACTGAAGTGCTGCATAAAAAGATATCCATGCAAAAAAGCTGAGCTACAACAGCGAGGAGAATTCAAAGGACATAACCACAGGTATGTTAAATGTCTTAGTAAAGGAAGTATAGTATAGTATAGTATAGTCTCGTCTAGTCTAGTGTAAGAGTTAAAGTTGTCTCAAGTTTGCCAGAATTAATATAAAAGAAGAGCGCGCCTTTTTTTCCATTTTAGAGCTTGAGACATTTTAACTTTCTGCAACTCGCGATAAGCTCATTTAAGCGACTTTGCATCACTGAGAAGGTAAGTAAATAATCATTACAATTTGATACTAACCTGTGTAAGATGGGTTCGATCACTGATAGGGAAACCCTGATACGTTGCCTAAAGCAGTTGTAGGAAAAAGTTATGGTCGATCAGCACTACAGGTCATCTGAAAGAGGTAAGGCCGGCATGTTTTGATTGCAACGAATTTTGTTAGATTCTTTTTTCCAGCATGACCTCGTGGTTCAGCTCGGACCAGAGCAGGACTGGAGTGCTTCATAAAAAGAGAGCCATAACAACAAGCTGAGATACAACAGAGAGGAGAATCCAAAGCTAGGACATAACCACAGGTATGTTCAATGTCTCAATAAAGGAAGTATAGCATAGTCGGGTCTAGTATAGTCTAGTCTTGTATAAGAGTTACATTGTCTCGAGTTTGCCAGAATTAATATAAGAGAAGAGCGCGCCTTTTTTTCCATTTTAGAGCTCGAGACATTTTAACTTTCTGCAACTCGCGATAAGCTCATTTAAGCGACTTTGCATCACTGAGGAGGTAAGTAAATAATCATAACAATTTGATACTAACCTGTGTAAGATGAGTTCGTTCACTGATAGGAAACGACAAGCTGAGATAAAACAGAGAGGAGAATTCAAAGCTAAGGCATAACCACAGGTATGTTGAATGTCTCAATAAAGAAAGTATGGTATAGTCTAGTCTGGTCTAGTCTAGTCAAAGAGTTAAGGTTGTCTCGAGTTTGTCAGAATTAAGATTAAAGAGGAGCCCGCCTTTTTTCCATTTTAGAGCTGGAGACATTTGAACTTTCTGCAGCTCTCGATAAGCTCATTTCAGCGACTTTGCATCACTGTGAAGGTAAGTAAATAATCATAACAATTTGATACTAACCTGTGTAAGATGAGTTCGTTAACTGAAAGGAAAACCCTGATGCGTTGCCTAAAGCAGTTGTAGGAAAAAGTTATGGTCGATCAGCACTACAGGTCATCTGAAAGAAGTAAGACCGGCATGTTTTGATTGCAACAGGTTTTGTTAGATTTTTTTTTATCATGATCTCGTGGTTAAGTTTGGAACAGAGCAGGACTTGAGTGCTTCATAAAAAGAGAGCCATAACAACGACCTGAGCTACAACATCGAGGAAAATCCAAAGCTAGGACCTAACCACAGGTATGTTAAATGTCTCAGTAAAGGAAGTCTGGTCTAGTCTAGTGTAGGAGTTAAGGTTGTCTCCAGTTTGCCAGAATTAATATAAAAGAACAGCGGGCCCTTTTTCGGTTTGAGAGCTTTAGACATTTTAACTTTCTACAACTCAAGAAAAGCTCATTTTCAGCGACTTAGCATCACTGAGAAGGTAAGTAAAGAATTAGAGAAGTTGTAGTAGGAAGCCGTGGTCATTCAGCACCACAAGTCAGCTGAAAGAGGTAAGGCCGCCATGTTTTGATTGCAACAGGTTGTTAGATTTTTTTCTTTTCAGCATGACCTCATGGCTCACTTTAAATCACGTCAAAACCGAATAGCACATCAAGCGCTTTATAGGTAATATGTAATCATTTGTAAGAATTATTTATTCCTCTAAACTATCTGAAATTTTCTGTTTACAGAACTTTTAGGTGGTTTCCTGATCAATTGTTTCAATGACAGCGTTTCACAATGTGACGTGTTTGATATTTCAACATCCTTTTTCTCTGAACAGTTTTCTGTTTTCAGTGGAGAAAACTAGTGTTTTCGAACAAGGCCTAACCAGCAGCCCATCAGAAAGGTGACAGATGACAATTCACTGTAAGTATTCAATTATGGGACAAATTAAGGACAACCAACACGATACCCATTGTTACATATTTCGTATGCTCAAAACACGAATTGTCTTAAATAATTAAAACTGAAACTATCTTCATAATGCAACTTTTATTTCATTTATGTTTTCTGAAAACATCAGTATATTATCAGTCTTTATCAGCAGTCTTTTTGCATGCAAGTCAAGTGTAGATTAATGTATTGCTATCTACTCCATTGCAGTTTGGGCAGTCCAGAAGAATCCTTTTAACTAACTTCCAGTGTTGTGCTAAGCTACCCTGTGTGGTCTAGTCCAGTGGAGTACACTCATATACAGTGCAGTACAGTCTTCATCAGTTTCACTTCGCGTGGAATGCAGTTCGGTGCAGATCAGTCTAGCGAGGTGCAGTGACTGTCCTGTATGGTACTTTCCAGTTAAATCTTGGGTAGTGCAGTGTAGTGCAGTCTGGTGAAGTCAAGCTTCAGAATAACAGTCCAGTCCAGTGAAATGCAGAGCCGTCCAGTTCAGTCTTCCGAACTCCAGTCCGGCTCAGTCCAGTCCAGTCCATTCAGTGAAATCTGCGCCCGTCCAGTCCAATTCCAATTCATTCCCTTCCAGCTAAGTACTTTTCAATCCAGCATAGCCCAGGTCCATATAAGCCAACAGCAGTCGAGTCTAGTCTAGTCCAGTCAAGTACAGTGCAGAGCAGTGCAATCCGTAGCAGCTCAGCCCAGTCTCGTTCAGTACAGAACAACTAACTGCCGTTGAGTCTAGCACAACGCAGTCCTACTCAGTCAAGTTAGGAACAACCAAGTGCATTGCGGCCCGTCCAGTCAAGTCAAGTGCTATTCGGAAAATTCCACATTGAAGCCCAATCAGGTGTATTTCAGTCCAGTCTTGCCTTCAGTTGTCACACCAACACAATCAAAAGCGTCTACTTACGGCATTGTCGTAGAAAGGTCTTTCTTTATGATACCTTAATAAAATTATACTTAATGACTGAAAAGTAAACAAGAATAATTGATAATCAATCAAAGATAAAATAAAGAAATAAAATATATATTTCAATCACTGAAAACATTGATTAATTCTTGAAGAACTAAAGAAATGATGAATTGATAAGGAGATAAATAAATATGCAAATAAATTGATATATTAATAAGTTCAGGAATAGTTACGTTGTTAAATAAATACAATTTTATCGTATAGTCTGCGTATAAAAAATATTTTTGCAGAATATTAAAATATAGCACCACGTTGTCTTAAAAGTTTTCAAGTATTTCTTCTCACAAGACTCAGTTTTCCCAAGACACCAGCTGACCTTTGAAAAGACCCAAGCAATCACAGGGTCACTAGTGATTCATGGTTGAATTTGAAACACTGGGATATCAGTAGAGCAGGACTGGAATAGATAATCATAACAACAAGCTAAGCAATACCTGCGAGGAGAATCTGAAGCTAAGACATAACCACAGGTAAGTTAAATGCTTGAGTAATGGATTAAAAGCTACTCGAAGCGGATTGTCTTCCTCTTACAAAAAGTGCTACATAGTATAGTATACTATAGTATTGAAGTTAAAGGACGGGTATTAGTAGAGGAGGACTGGGGTGCTTCATAAGAAGATAGCCATAACAGGAAGTTGTGCTACAACAAAGAGGAGAAACGAAACCTAGGACATAACCACAGCAACGTTTAATTTCTGAGTAATGGATTAAAGGCCAGTTGAAGCAGATTGTCTTCCTCTTAGAAAAGTACAACATAGTATAGTATGGTAAAGAATTAAATTTTTAAGCTGCGATATCAGTAAAACAGAACTGGAGTTCTTCATGAAAAGATAGCCATAACAACAAGCTGAGCTACAATACTGAGAAGAATCCAAGGCCAGCACATGAGTACAGGTATGTTTAATGTCTCAGGAAAGGAAGTTTAGAATAGTCTAGTCTAGTATAGTGTAATCTAGGAGTTACAGTTGTCTCGAGTTTGCCAGAATTAATAAAAGAGAAGAGCGGGTTTTTTTTTTCGATTTAAGAGCTTCAGACATTTTAACTTTCTGCAGCTCAAGATAAGCTCATTTTACGCGGCTTTCCATCGCTGAGAAGGTAAATAAAGAATTATAAAAATGTGATACTAACCTGTGTAACATGGGTTCGTTAACTGATAGGAAAACCCAGATGCGTTGCATAAAGCAGTTGTACGAAAAAGTTATGGTCGATCTGCACTACAGGTCATCTGAAAGAGGTAAGGCCGGCAGGTTTTGATTGCAACAAGTTTTGTCAGATTTTTTCTTTTAAGCATCACCTCGTGACTCACTTTGGATCGGAGCACGACTGGAGTGCTTCATAAAAAGATAGCGAGAACCACAAGCTAAGGTAAAACAGTGTGGAGAATCCAAAGCTTGGACCTCAGGTACGTTGGATTTCTGAGTAATGGATTACAGGCTAGTCGAAACAGAAAAAGTACTACCTAGTGTAATATGGTAACGAATTGAATTTAACTGGGATATCAGTAAAACAGGACTGGAGTGCTTCAGGAAAAGATAACATAACAACAAGCTGAGGTATAACAGGGAGGAGAATCCAAGGCCAAGACATAAATACAGGTATGTTAAATGTCTCAGGAAAGGTAGTACAGTCTAGTCTAGTCTAGTCAGGTGTAGGAGTTAAGGTTGTCTCGAGTTTGCCAGAATTTGTATAAAAGAAGAGCGGGCCTTTTTTTCGATTTAAGAGCTTCTGACATTTTAACTTTCTGCAGCTCAAGATAAGCTCATTTTTAGCGGCTTTCCATCACTTAGAAGGTAGGTAAAGAATTATAATACTGTGATACTTAACTGTGTAACATGGGCTCGTTGGCTAATAGGAAAACCCTGATGCGTTGCATAGAGCAGTTGAACGAAAAAGTTATGGTCGATCAGCACTACAGGTCATCTGAAAGAAGTAAGGCCGGCATGTTTCCATTGCAACAAGTTTTGTCAGATTTTTTTTCTTTTCAGCATGACCTCGTGGCTCAGTTCGGATCAGAGCAGGACTCGAGTGCTTTATAAAAAGAGAGCCATAACAACAAGCTGAGCTACAACGGCGAGGAGAATCTAAAGTTAGGATATAACCACAGGTACGTTAAATTTCTAAGTAATGGATTAAAGGCTAGTCGAAGCGGATTGTCTTCCTCTTAAAAAAGTGCTTCATAGTACAGTATAGTATAGTATTGAATTTAAAACTAATATCGGTAGAGCAGGACTGGACTGCTTCACGAAAAAATGGCCAAAACGACAAGCTGAGCTACAACAGCGTGGAGAATCCAAAGCTAAGACATAACTACACGTATGTTAGATGTTACTTTAGTCTAGTAGAGGAGGAACGTCGGTGGGTTCGTTGGCTTATACGAAAACTCTGATGCGTTGCATAGAGGAGTTGGAGGAAAAAGTTATGGTCGATCAGCGCTACAGGTTATCTAAGAGAGGTAAGGCCGGCATGTTTTGATTGCAACAAGTTGTTAGATTTTTTACTTTTCAGCATGACTTCGTGGCTCCCTTTGGATCACATCATAAACAAGTAGCACATCGAGCACTTCATAAGTAATATGTAATCATTTGTAAGAATTATTCTTTTTTTAGACTATCTGAAATTTCTGTTTGCAGAACTTTTTAGGTTTCAGTTGTCACACCAACACATTCAAGAGCGTCTACTTACGGCATTGTCATAAACAGGTCTTTTTTAATGGTACCTTAATAAAAGTATACCCGATAACTTAAAAATAAACAAGAATAACTGATAATCAATAAAAGATAAAATAAAGAAATAAAATATATATCTCAATAACTCATTACATTGATTAATTCTTGAAGAACTAAAGAAATGATGAATTAATAGAGAGATCAATAAATATGTAAATAAATCGATATATAAATAAGTTAAGAAATACTTGCGTTAATAACTGAATACAATTTTATCGTATGGTCAATGTATTTAAAATGTTTTTGCATATGACACCACGTTGTCTAAACGGTTTGCAAGTATTTTTTCTCACAAGACTTAATTTTAGCAAGACACCAGCTGACCTTTGGAAAGACACCAGACATCACAAGGTCGCTAGTGATTCATGGCTGAATTTGCAACACCGAAATATCAGTAGAGCGGGACTGGAATGGATAATCATAAGAAAAGGCTAAGCAAAAGCTGCAAGAAGAATCCAAAGCTAGGACATAAGCACAGGTACGTTACATTTCTTAGTAATGGATTAGAGGCTAGTCAAAGCGGATTGTCTTCTTCTTAGAAAAGTACTACATAGCACACTATAGTAAGGTATTGAATCTAAGGCTGGGAGATTAGTAAAAGAGGACTGGAGTGCTTCGTGAAAAGATAGCCATAACAACAAGCTGAGATACAACAGCGAGGAGCATCAAAGACTAGGACATAACCACAGGTATGTTAGATGTCTCAGTAAAGGAAGTAAAGTATGGTCTACCGTAGGAGTTTGGGTTTTCTCGAGTTTGCCGGAATTAATATAAAAGAAGAGCAGGCCTTTTTTTCGATTTAAGATCTTGAGACATTCTAACTTTCTGCAGCTCAAGAAAAGCTTGTTTTCAGCGGCTTTCCATCACTAAGAATGTAAGTAAAGAATTAAAACAATGTGATGCTAACTTGTGTAAGATGGGTGCCGTTGGTTGATAGGAAAACCTTGAGGCGTTGCATAGAGCAGTTGGTAAAAAAAGTTATGGTTGATCAGCACTACAGGTCATGTGAAAGAGGTACGGCCGGCATGTTTTGATTGCAACAAGTTTTGTGAGATTTTCTTTTTAGTAGGACCTCGTGGCTCAGTTAGAATAAGAGCAGGACTGGAGTCCTTCATAAGAAAATAGCCATGACCACAAGCTGAGAGACAACAGCGAGGAGAATCCAAAGCTAGGACATAACCACAGGTACCTTAAATTTCTCAGTAATGGATTGGTCGAAGCAGATTGTCTTCCTCTCAGAAAAGTACTACATAATATAGTATAGTAAAGAATTGAATTTAAAGCTGGTATATCAGTAGAGCAGCACTGGAGTGTATCAGGAAAAGATTGCAATAACAACAAGCTAAGCTATAAAAGCAAGGACAATTAAAGGCTAGGACAACCGCAGGCTCGTTAAATTTCTCAGTAATGGATTAAAGGTTAGTCGAAGCAGGTTGTCTTCCTCTTACTAAAGTACTACATAGTTTAATATAGTATTGAATTTGAAGCTGGGACATCAGTAGAACAGGACTGGAGTGCTTCATGAAAAGACAGCAATAACAACAAGCTGAGTTACAACAGAGAGGAGAATCCAAAGCTAGGACATAACCACAGGTATGTTAAATGTCCTGTGATTCATAACTGAAGTATAGTATACTTAAGTCTGATGTAGGAGTTAAGGTTGTCTCAAGTTTGTGAGAACTAAATTAAGAGAACAGCGCGCCTTTTTTTCGATTTAAGAGCTTCAGACATTTAAACGTTCTGCAGCTCAAGATAGGCTCATTCAACGGCTTATCATTACTGAGAAGGTAAGTGAAGAATTACAACAATGTGATACTAACCTGTGTAACATGGGTTCGTTGGCTGATAGGAAAACCCTGATGCGTTGCATAGAGCAATTGGAGGAAAAAGTAATCGTTGATCAGCACTACAGGTCATGTAGTGCTGATCGACGATTATTAAACATGCTGATTTTGATTGGAACAAGTTTTGTTAGATTTTTTCTTTTCAGCATGACCTCGTAGCTCAGTTCGGATCAGAGCAGGACTGGAGTGCTTCATAAAAAGATAGCCACAACTACAAGCTAAGCTACAACAGCGAGAAGAATCCAAAGCTCGGACATAGTCACAGGTACATTTAATTTCTGAGTGATGGATTAAAGGCCAGTCGAAGCATAAAAGTACTACATAGTATAGTATAGTAAACAATTGAATGTAAAGCTAGGATATCAGTAAAATAGGACTGGAGTGCTTCATGAAAAGATAGCCATAACAACAAACTGAGCTGATTACATCAAATTAATTTGTTGTAGTCGTGTTGATTACAACAAATTTTTTTAATCTTTTCTTTTCTTCATTACCTCGTGGCTCAGTTCGGATCGGAGAAGGACTGCATTGCTTCATAAAATGATAGCCATTACAACATGATGAGTTACAACAGCGAAAAGAAACTAAAAGCTTGTACTTAATAACAGGTACATTTAATATCTGAGTAATGGATTAAAGGCTACTCGAAGCGGATTTTCTTTCGGTTAGAAAAGCACTACATAGTACAGAATAGAATAGTATTGAATTTAAAGTTGAATTATCGATAGAACAGGACTGGAGTGCTTCACGAAAAGATGGCCATAACAACAAGTTGAGCTACAAAAACGAGGAGAATCCAAAGCTAGAACATAACTACAGGTATGTTAGATTTCTGAGTAATAGAAGTATAGTATACTTTAGTCCAGTCTGGTGGCGGAGCTAACGTCGTCTCGAGTTTGTCAGAATTAATACAAAAGAAGAGCGGGCTTTTTTTTCGATTTAAGAGTTTGAGACATTTTAACTTTTTCTATCAAGATAAGCCCATCTTTGGCGGCTTTGCATCACTAAGAAGGTAGGTAAAGAATTCTAACAATGTGATACTAACCTTTCTAAGATGGGTTCGTTGGCTGATAGGAAAACCCTGATGCGTTGCATAGAGCAGTTAGAGCAAAAAGTTATGGTCGAACCGCACTGCAGGTCATCGGAAAGAGGTAAGGCCGGCATGTTTTGATTGCAACAAGTTATTAGAGTTTTCTTTTCAGCATAACCTCGTGGCTCACTTTGGATCACGTCATAAACAAATAGCACATCGAACGCCTCATAGGTAATATTTAATCACTTGAAAGAATTATTCTTTCTTCTGAAATTTTCTGTTTGCAGAACTTTCTAGGTGGCTTCCTGATTAATCGGTTTAATGACAACGTTTCACTACTCACTATGTGACGGGTTTAATATTTCAACACCTTTTATTCTCTTAAAAGTTTTCTGTTTTCAGTGGATAAAAACTAGTGTTTTCAAACAAGGCCTATCAGCAGCTCATCAGAAAGGTCACAGATGACGATTAAGTGTCAATATTCAGTTTGGGATAATTCAAGGACAACTAACACGATGTCCACTGTTACATATTTCGTATGCTCAAAACATGAATTGTCCTGAATAATTGAAACTGAAAGTAGCTTAATATATTTTTTATTTAGTTGATCTTTCCTCAAGACATCAGTATATCATCCGTCTTTACTAGAAGTCTTTTGCATATAAGTCGAGTGTAGATTAATGTATTGCCATCAACTCCATTGCAGCACAATCCTTTGAACTTACTTCCAGCGCTGTGCAAAGATTTCATATGTGGTTTTGTCCAATGAAGTACATTCACGTGCAGCGCAGTACAGTCTTTTTCAGTTTCATTTGGAAACGTGCGATGCACTTCGGTGTAGATCACTCTAGCGAGATGCAGTGAACTGATTGTCCTGTATGGTACTTTCAAGTTCAACTGAGGGTAGTGCAGTGTAGTGCAGTCTGGCTAAGTCAAGCTCAAGCTAAGACCTTCCAGTCCAATTAGGTACAGTGCCGTCCACTTCAGTCTTCTGAAGTGCTTCGGCTCAGTCCACTTCAGTCCAGTCCACTCCGCTGACGTGTATTCCATTCGAGTTTGATCTGGTCCAGTCCATTGAGTGGAGTCTGTGCTCGTCCAGTCTAGTCCCGTCCTGTCCAATTCTGTCTGTTCCAGCATAGCCCAGGTCCATATAAGTCAACAGCAGTCTAGTCCAGTCAAAAGCAGTGCAGAACAGTGCAATCTATAACAGCTCAGCTCAGTCCCGTTTCGTCCACTCTAGGACAACTAACTGCCGTTGAGTCTAGCACAACGCAGTCCTGCTCAGTCAAGTTAGGAACAACCAAGTGCATTGCGGCCCGTCCAGTCAAGTGAAGTGCTATTAGAAAAAGCCCACTGGAGTTGATAAAAGTATACCTGATAACTTAAAAATAAACAAGAATAATTGATAATCAACAAACGATAAAATAAAGAAATGAGATATATATCTCAATAACTGATAACATTAATTAATTCTTGAAGAACTAAAGAAATGATGAATTAATAAGGAGATGAATATATATGTAAATAAAAATGATATATAAATAAGTTGAGAAAAAGTTACGTTATTAAATAAATACAATTTCATCGTACGATCAATGTAATAACAATCATTTTGCGGAATATTAAAATATAGCACCACGTTGTCTTAAAGGCTTGCAAGTATTTTTTCTCACTTGAGTCAGCTTTACCAAGACACCAGGTGACCTATGGACCAGGGTCGCTAGTGATTCATGGCTGAATTTGCAACACTGAGATATCAGTAGAGTAGGACTGGAATGGATAATCATAACACCAAGCTAAACAACAGCTGCGAGAAGAATTTAAAGCTAAGACATAACCACAGGTACGTTAAATTTCTGAGTAATGGATAAAAGGCTAGTGGAAGCAGATTGTCTTCCTCTTACAAAAGTACTACATAGTATAGTAAGGAATTAAATTTGAAGCTGGGACTGAAGTGCTTCATGAAAAGATAGCCAAAACAACAAGCTGAGCTACAACCCCAAGTAGAATCCAAAGCTAGGACATAACCACAGGTATGTTAAATGTCTTGGTAAAGAAAATATAGTATAGTTTAGTCTAGTCTAGTGCAGAAGTTAAGATCGTCTCGAGTTTGCCTGAATTAATATAAAAGAAGAGCGGGCCTTTTTTCAGATCAAAGAGCTTGAGACATTTTAACTTTCTGCAGCTCAAGACAAGCTCATTTTCAACGGCTTTCCATCACTGAGAGGGTAAATAAAGAATAAAAACAATATGATCAGTTGCAGAATATTAAAATACAGTACCACGTTATCTTAAGGGTTTGCAAGTATTTTTTTCACAAGACTAAGTTTTACCAAAACATCAGCTGACCTTTAGAGAGACACAGGCAATCACAGGGTCGCTAGTGATTCATGGCTCAATTTGCAACACTGGGATATCAGTAGAACACGACTGGAATGGATAATCACAACAACACGCTGAGAACCAGCTGCAAGGAGAATCCAAGGCTAGGACATAACCACAGGTGCCTTAAATTTCTGAGTAATGGATTAAAAGCTACTCGGAGCGAATTGTCTACCTCTTACAAAAAGTACTACATATTGTAGTATAGTATTGAAGTTAACGCACGGATATCAGAAGAGGCCGCTGAGCTAAACAGCGAGTAGAATCCAAAGCTAGGACATAACCACAGGTATGTTAAATGTCTCAGTAAAGGAAGTATAGTATAGTATGGTCTAGTCTATTGTAAGAGTAAAGGTTGTCTCGAGTTTGCCAGAATTAATAGAAAAGAACAGCGCGCCTTCTTTTCCATTTTAGAACTTGAGACAGTTAAGTTTCTGCAACTCACGATGACCTCAGCCACTTTGCATCAGTAATCACAACAATTTGATTCTAACCTGTCTAAGATGGCTTCGTTCACTGATAGGAAAACCCTGATGCGTTGCCTCGAGTAGTTGTAGAAAAAGTTATGGTCGATCAGTACTACATGTCAACTGAAAGAGGTAAGGCCGGCATGTTTGGATTGCAACAAGTTTTGTTAGATTTTCAGCATGACCTCATGGCTCAGTTCGGATCATAGCAGGACTGGAGTGCTTCATAAAAAGAGAGGCATAACAACAAGCTGAGCTACAACAGCAAGAAGAATCCAAAGCCAGGACATAACCACAGGCACGTTTAATTTTTAAGTAATAATTTAAAGGTTAGTCGAAGCGGATTGTCTCCCTCTTACAAAAGTACTACATAGTATAGTATAGTAAAGTATTGAATTTAAAGCTGGGATGTCGATAGAACAGGACTGGAGTGTTTCATGAAAAGATAGCCATAACAACAAGCTGAGCTACAACAGAGAGGAGAATCCAAAGCTAAGACATAACCACAAGTATGTGAAATGTCTAGGTAGAGGAATATAGTCTAGTCTAGTCTACTCTCGTGTAAGAGTCAAGGTTGTCTCGAGCCGGCATGTTTTGATTGCAACAAGTTTTGTTAGATTTTTTTTTCTTTTTTGAGCTCGACCTCGTGGCTCAGTTTGGATTAGAGCAGGACTAGAGTGCGTCATAAAAAGAGAGGCATAACAACAAGCTGAGCTACAACAGCAAGGAGAATCCAAAGCTAGGACATGTTAAATGTCCCAGTAAAGGAAGTATAGTATAGTCTAGTCTGGTATAAGAATTAAGGTTGCCTCAGGATTGCCAGAATAAATATAAAAGAAGAACGAGACTTTTTTTCCATTTTATAAGATGGCATGTTTTGATTTGAAACAAGTTGTTAGAAGATTTTAGATATATGAAAATTCACATATTTGCACTGCGGTGGAAAGATGAAATTAGGAGATCCTCGCAGCTAAGAACACTACTGAAACGAGTAGTTGTAAATAGGACCTGAAAAAAATTTCAGGCCCGTACGGGATTTGAACCCATGACCTCTGCGATACCGGTGCAGCGCTCTACCAATTGAGCTAACAAGCCAACTGGGAGCTGGTCAATGAATTGGGTCCAAATAAACATCAAAGTGAATGAAGATTTTAGATTTGTTAGATTTTTTTTTTCCAGCCTGATCTCGTGGCTCAGTTCGGATCAGAGCAGGACTGGACTGTTTACAAAAAGATGGCCACAACAACAAGCTGAGCCACAAAAGAGAGGAGAATCCAAAGCTAGGACATAACCACAGGTATGTTAAATGTCTCAGTAAAGGAAGTATAGTATAGTCTAGTCTAGTCAAGTGTAAGAGTTAAGGTTGTCTCGAGTTTGCCAGAATTAATATGAAAGAAGAGCGCGCCTTTTTTTTCCATTTTAGAGCTTGGGCCTTTTTAACCTCCTGCAAATCACGATAAGCTCTTTTCAGCGACTTTGCATTACTGAGAAGGTAAGTAAATAATCATAACAATTTGATACTAACTTGAGTAAGATGGCTTCGTTCACTGATAGGAAAACCCTGATGCGTTGCCTAAAACAGTTGTAGGAAAAAGTTATTGTCGTTCAGCTCTACAGGTCATCTGAAAGAGGTAAGGCCGGCATGTTTTGATTGCGACAAGTTTTGTTAGATTTTATTTTTCTTTTTTTCAGCATGACCTCGTGGCTCAGTTCGGATCAGACCAGGACTGGAGTGCTTTATAAAAAGATAGCCATAACAACAAGCTGACCTACAACAGAGAGGAGAATACAAGGCTAGGACATAACCACAGGTATGTTAAGCCTCTCAGTAGAGGACGTCTAGTCTGGTCTAGTCTGGAATAGGAAGTAAAGTTGTCTGGAGATTGCCAGAATTAATATAAATAAAGAGCAGGCCCTTTTTTCGGTTTAAGAACTTAAGATATTTTAACTTTTTGCAGCTCAAGATAAGCTCATTTTCAGCGGCTTAGCATCACTAAGAAGGTAAGTAAAGAATTAATGTGATACTAACCCGTGTAAAATGGGTTCGTTCACTGATAGGAAAACCCTGATGCGTTGCCTAAAGCAATTGTAGGAAAACGTTATGATCGATCAGCACTACAAGTCATCTGAAAGAGGTAAGGCCGGCATGCTTTGATTGCAGCAAGTTTTGTTAGATTTTTTTTTCTTTTTTCAGCATGACCTCGTGGCTCAGTTCGGATCAAAGCAGGACTGAAGTGCTTCATAAAAACATAGCCAAAACAACAAGCTGAGCTACAACAGAGAGGAGAATCCAAAGCTAGAACATAACCACAGGTATGTTAAACGTCTCAGTAAAAGAAGTCTAGTCTAGTTTAGTCTAGTGTAGGAGTTAAGATTGTCTCGAGATTGCCAGAATTAATATAAAAGAAGAACGGGTCCTTTTTTCGGTGTAAGAGCTCTAGACATTTTAACTTTCTGCAGCTCAAGAAAAGCTAATTTTCAGCGGCTTAGCATCACTGAGAAGGTAAGTAAGAATTGTAACAATGTGATACTAACCTGTGTAAGATGGATTCGTTGGCTAATAGCAAAACCCTGATGCGTTGCATAAAGCAGTTTTGGGAGAAAGTTATGGTCGTTCAACACTACAGGTCATCTTAAAGAGGTAAGGCCGGCATGTTTTGATTGCAACAAGTTGTCAGATTTTTTCTTTAAGCATGACCTCGTGGCTCACTTCAAATCACGTCAAAACCAAGTAGCACATCGAGTGCTTCATAGGTAATATGTAATCATTTGTAAGAATTATCGTTTCTTCTAGACTATCTGAAATCTTCTATTTACACAGCCTTTTTGGTGCTTTCCTGATTAACTGGTTTAATGACAACGTTTCACAATGTCATGTGTTTTATATTTTAACATCTTTTTTTCTCTTAACAGTTTTCCGTTTTCGGCGCAGAAAAACTAGTGTTTTCAAACAAAGTATAATCAGCAGCCCATCAGAAAGGTAACAGATGACAATTAACTGTAAGTATTCAATTATGGGACAAATTAAGGACAACCGACACGATACCCATCGTTACATATTTCGTATGCTCAAAACACGAATTGTCTTAAGTAATTGTAACTGAAACTAGCTTCATAATATAATTTTTATTTCGTTGATGTTTTCTCAAAACATCAGTATATTATCAGTCTTTATACGCAGTCTTTTTGAATGTAAGTCAAGTGTAGATTAATGTATTGCCATCTACTCCATTGCAGTTTAGGTAATCCAGAAGAATCCTTGTAACTTACATCCAGTGTTGTGCTAAGCTATCCTGTGGGGTCTAGTCCAGTGGAGTATATTCATGTACAGTGCAGTGGAAACGTGCAATGCAGTTTGGTGCAGATCAGTCTAGCGAGGTGCAGTGACTGTCCTGTATGGTACTTTCCAGTTAAATACAGGTTAGTGCAGTGTTGTGCAGTCTGGTGAAGTCAAGCTCAGACTAAGAAAGTCCAGTCCAGCGAAGTGCAGTGCCGTCCAGTTCAGTCTTCTGAACTGCTGTCCGGCTCAGTCCAGTCCAGTCCACTCCACTCCACTAACGTATGGTCCAGTCCATTTAGAGGAATCTGTGCCCGTACAGTCCAGTCCCGTTCAGTCCAATTCCAATTCATTCCCTTCCAGCAAAGTTAATTTCAATCCAGCATAGCCCAGGTGCATACAAGTCAACAGCAGTCGAGTCTTGTCCAGTCAAGTGCAGTGCAGAGCAGTGCAATGCGTAACTGCTTAGCCCAGTCCCGTCCCGTTCCGTCAAGTCCAGAACAACTAACTGCCGTTGAGTCTAGCACAACGCAGTCCTGCTCAGTTAAGTCAGGAAAAACCAAGTGCATTGCGGCCCGTCCATTCAAGTCAAGTGCTATTCGGAAAAGTCCACATTGAAGCCCATACAAGTGTATTTCAGTCCAGTCTTGTCTTCAGTTGTCACACCAACACAATCAAGAGCGTCTACTTACGGCATTGTCGTAGACAGATCTTTTTTTAATGATACCTTAATAAAAGTATACCTAATAACTGAAAAGTAAACAAGAATAATTGATAATCAGTAAAAGATAAAATAAAGAAATAAAATATATATCTCAATCTCTGAAACATTGATTAATTCTTGAAAAACTAAAGAAATGATGAATTAATAGGGGGATAAATAAATATGAAAATAAATTGATATAATAACAAGTCCAGAAATAGTCACGTTGTTAAATAAGTACAATTTTATCGTATTGTCAATGTATTAACAATATTTTTTGCAGAATATTAAAATATAGCTCCACGTCGTCTTAAAAGTTTGCAAGTATTTTTTCTCACAAGACTTAGTTTTACCAAGACACCAGCTGACCTTTGGAAAGACACAAGCAATCACAGGGTCACTAGTGATTCATGGTTGAATTTGAAACACTGGGATATCAGTAGAGCACGATTGGAAAGGATAATCATAACAACAAGCTGAGGAACACCTGCTAGGAGAATCCGAAGCTAGGACATAACCACAGGTACGTTAAATGTTTGAGTAATGGGTTAAAAGCTAGTCGAAGCGGATTGTCTTCCTCTTACGAAAAGTGCTGCATAGCATAGTATACTAAAATATTGAAGTTAAAGGACTGATATTAATAGAGAAGGACTGGAGTGCTTCATAAGAACTACAACAAGAGCTAGGACAGCGAGGAGAATCCGAACCTAAGACATAACCACAGGTACGTTAAATTTCTGAGTAATGGATCAAAGGCTAGTTGAAGCGGATTGTCTTCCTCTTAGAAAAGTACAACAAAGTATAGTATAGTATAGAATTGAATTTAAAGCTGCGATATCAGTAAAACAGGACTGGAGTTCTTCATGAAAAGATAGCCATAACAACAAGCTGAGCTACAATACCGAGGAGAATCCAAGGCTAGCACATAATCACAGGTATGTTAAATGTCTCGGGAAAGGAAGTATAGAATAGTCTAGTCTAGTCTAGTCTAGTGTAATCTAGGAGTTACGGTTGTCTCGAGTTTGCCATAATTAATATGAGAGAGAGAAGAGTTTTTTTTTTCGATTTAAGAGCTTCAGACATTTTAACTTTCTGCAGCTCAAGACAAACTCATTTTACGCGGCTTTCCATCACTGAGAAGGTAAATAAAGAATTATTACAATGTAACTTGTGTAACATGGGTTCGTTGGCCGATAGGAAAACCCTGATACGTTGCATAAAGCAGTTGTAGGAAAAAGTTGTGGTAGATCAGCACTACAGGAAAGAGGTAAGGCCGGCAGGTTTTGATTGCAACAAGTTTTGTCAGATTTTTTGTTTTAGGCATGACCTCATGGCTCACTTGGGATCGGAGCAGGACTGGAGTGCTTCATAAGATAGCCACAACCACAAGCTAAGGTAAAACAGCGTGGAGAATCTAAAGCGAGGAAATAACCACAGGTACGCTAAATTTCTCAGTGACGGATTACTGGCTAGTCGAAACAGAAAAAGCACTACACGGTGTAATATAGTAACGAATTGAATTTAAAGCTGTGATATTAGTAAAACAGGACTGGAGAGGTTCGGGAAAAGATACCCATAACAACAAGCTGAGGTATAACAGTGAGGAGAATCCAAGGCTAGGACATAACTACAGGTATGTTAAATGTCTCAGGAAAGGAAGTACAGTATAGTCTAGTCTAGTCAGGTGTAGGAGTTAAGGTTGTCTCGAGTTTGCCAGAATTTTTATAAAAAAAGAGCAGGCCTTTTTTTCGATTTCAGACCTTGAGAAATGTTAACTCTCTCCAGCTCAAGATAAGCTCATTTTTAGCGGCTTTCCATCACTGAGAAGGTACGTAAAGAATAATAATAATACTGTGATACTAACTTGTGTAACATGGGCTCGTTGGCTGATAGGAAAACCCTGATGCGTTGCATAGAGCAGTTGGAGGAAAAACTTATGGTCGATCAGCATTACAGGTCATCTGAAAGAGGTAAGGCCGGCATGTTTTCATTACAACAAGTTTTATCAGATTTTTCTTTTCAGCCTGACCTCGTGGCTCAGTTTGGATCAGAGTAGGACTGGAGTGCACCATAAAAAGAGAGCCATAACGACAAGCTGAGCTACAACGGCGAGGAGAATCCAAAGCTAGGACATAACTACAGGTATGGTAGATGTTAGTTTAGTCTAATAGAGGAGGTAACGTCAGTGGGTTCGTTGGCGTATATGAAAACCCTGATGCGTTGCATAGAGGAGTTGGAGGAAAAAGTTATGATCGATCAGCACTACAAGTCATCAGAAAGAGGTAAGGCTGGCATGTTTTGATTGCAACAAGTTGTTAGACAAGTTCTTTTAAACATGACCTCGTGGCTCCCTTTAGATCACATCATAAATAAGTAGCACATCGAGCACTTCATAGGTAATATGTAATCATTTGTAAGAATTATTCTTTCTTTTAGACTATCTGAAATTTTCTATTTACAGAACTTTTTAGGTGGTTTCCTGATTAATTGGTTTCATGACAACGTTTCACCACTCACTATGTGACGTGTTTAATATTTCAACACCTTTTTTCCCCTAACAGTGTCCTGTTTTCAGTGGAGAAAAACTGGTGTTTTCAAACAAGGCCTGGTCAGCAGCCCGTCAGAAAGGTCACAGATGACCATTAACTTTCATTATTCAGTTATGGGACAATTCAAGGTCGACCAAAACGATATCCATTGTTACATATTTCGTGTGCTCAAAAACACAAATTGTCTTGAATAACTGAAACTGAAACCAGCTTCCTAATATAATTTTTATTTAGTTAATGTTTTCTCAAGACATCAGTATATCATCCGTTTTTATTAGTAGTCTTTTGCATAAAAGCCATCAACTCCATTGCAGTTTAGGCAATCCAGAACAATCCTTTTAACTTACTTCCAGCGCTGTGCAAAGCTATCCTGTGTGGTCTAGTCCAATGGAGTACATTCACGTGCAGTGCGGTACAGTCTTTATCAATTTCATTTGGAAACGTGCAATGCAGTTCGGTGCAGATTAGTCTGGCGAGGTGCAGTGAACTGACTGTCCTGTATGGTACTTTCCAGTTTAATCCAGGGTAGTGCAGTGTAGTGCAGTCGGGTGAAGTCAAGCTCAGGCAAAGACAATCCAGTCCAGTTAGGTGCAGTACCGTCTAGTTCAGTCTTCTGAACTGCTGTCCGGCTCAGTCCAGGTCAGTCCAGTCACTCCGCTGATGTGTACTCCAGTCCAGTTTAATCCGGTCCAGTCCATTAAGTGGAGTCTGTTCCCTTCCTTTCCAGTCCAGTTCCGTCCCGTTCAAATTTATGCGTTCCCGTCCAATTCCATTCATTCCCTTCCACCTAAGTACATTTCAATCTAGGATAGCCAAGGTCCATATAAGTCAACAGCAGTCGAGTCTAGTCCAGTCAAGTGCAGTGCAGAACAGTGCAATCCGTAACACCTCAGCCCATTTCCGTTTCGTCCAGTCCAGAACAACTAATTGCCGTTGAGTCTAGCACAACGCAGTCCTGCCCAATCAAGTTAGGAACAACTAAGTGCATTGCGACCCGTCCAGACAAGTGAAGTGCTATTTGGAAAAGCCCACATCTAAGCCCATACAAGTGTATTTCAGTCCAGTCTTGTCTGCAGTTGTCACACCAACACAATCAAGAGCGTCTACTTACGGCATTGTCGTAAACAGTCTTTTTAATGATACCTTAATAAAAGTATACCAGATAACTTAAAAATAAAAAAGAATAACTGATAGTCAATAAAAGATAAAATATATACCTCCATAACTGATAACATTGATTAATTCTTGAAGAACTAAAGAAATGATGAATTAATAGGGAGATCAATAAATAAGTAAATAAACTGATATATAAAATAAGTTAAGAAATACTTACGTTATTAACAATTTTATCCTATGGTCAAGGTATTAAAAATGTTTTTGCAGAATATTAAATATAGCACCACGTTGTCTTAACGGTTTGCAAGTATTTTTCCTCTCAAGACTTAGTTTTAGCAAGACACCAGCTGACCTTAGGAAAGACACAAGCAATCACAAGGTCGCTAGTGATTCATGGCTGAATTTGCAACACTGAGATATCAGTAGAGCAGAAATGAAATGGATAAGCATAACAACAAGCTAAGCAACGGCTGCAAGAAGAATTCAAGGCTAGGACATAAGCACAGGTACGTTAAATTTCTGAGTAATGGAATAAAGGCTAGTCGAAGCAGATTGTCTTCCTCTTAGAAAAGTACTACATAGTATACTTTAGTAAGGTATTAAATCTAAGGCTGGGAGATTAGTAAAACAGGACTGGAGTGCTTCGTGAAAAGATAGCCATAACAAGCTGAGCCACAACAGCGAGGAGAATCAAAGACTAGGACATAACCACAGGAATGTTAAGTCTCTCAGTAAAGGAAGTATACTATAATCTAGTCTAGTGTAGGAGTTAAGGTTGTCTCCAGTTTGCCAGAATAAATAAAAAAGAAGAACAGGCCATTTTTTCCCATTTAAGATCTTGAGACATTCTAACTTTCTGCAGCTCAAGATAAGCTTGTTTTCTTTCCATCACTGAGAAGGTAAAAAAAAACTAAAACAATATGATAGTAACTTAATTTTGTAAGATGGGTGCGTTGGCGATGGGAAAAACCTGAGGCGTTGCATAGAGCATCTGGTAAAAAAAAGTTATGGTTGCTCAGCATTACAGGTCATCTGAAAGAGGTAAGGCCGGCATGTTTTGATTGCAACAAGTTTTGTTAGATTTTCTTTTTAGCATGACCTCGTGGCTCAGTTCGGATCAAAGCAGGACTGGGGTCCTTCATAAGAAAATAACCATAACCACAAGCTGAGCTACAACATCG